TGGATACTTTACATCGACTAAGGATTTGTTTAATGTAACCTTGTAGTCACCACAAATTCTAATGTCACCGTTTGGTTTTAAAATTGGTACCAAAGGTGTTCCCCATTCAGAACTAACAACCTGCTCTAAAATTCCATCTTCTATGTATTTTCGCAGTTGAGTTTCAATTTTTTTCTTCCACGCTAATGGTAATGGTCTAGGCTTGAAAAAAACTGGTTTTGCTTCTTCTTTCAACAATAACGATACCGTGTTCATGTTATATGAACCTAAACAGGGCTCAAAAACATCATAAAATTCCGATCTAATCTGTTCTATAATTACAGAATTATTTTTGTCTTCATTTACATTGTTCACTTGCACTAACTCAAAATTAAAAGCTCTCAGAAATGTTCTTCCAAGTAAAGGTGGACTCACTGTATTCGTTACAACAACAACAATTTCTTTTTTTATACCTCGATATTCGATTGCTGCATCGTACTCACCAATTACTTTAATAGAATCTCCATTGTAATCTACATATGGTATTACGCATTTTCTAAGTGGTATGTAGTTATTATGACTTTCATAAAATGATTTTGGAACCAATGTGCAAGGTGCACCAGTGTCGCAAGCAATTTTCATATATGCTCCATCAATATTTACAGGTAAATAATAAACTCCACCAGTTGAGGTCGAACCAACGCTATATACGGAAAAATCATATTTATCATTATCAAAATTATTATCAGAATATGAGTTATAATTTGTTTGAGATACATAATTTACTGATTTCTTTACTTTATTATTTTTTTTTTTATTTTTTTTTTTTTCCGATGATCCTATTGGGCTTTGAGGTGGCTCAGAGGGGGCCTAGCTGAGGCCACCGGACGGGTCGCAGGTTGCGGATAGCGAACGGCCTACCCTAGTGGGTAGGTCAGCTGCGAATAAGCGGGCATCCTAAAGAGTATCAACTAAGTTGGCTCTGAGGGAGAGTACCGAAATAAGCAGTCCCGGACAGCCAGTTCGCGACGCAGCAACACTGACGATGCGCTTGTGGTGCCGCCTCTCATTAAGTAGCTCACACAATCCCATCCCTACACAACACCTACCCACATCCCAGCCCCAACACTCACCTCACACCGGGCCGGACTAAGGTGTCACTCGACCCGTGCCAAGAGTCAGCCTGCCTGGGGGCCCGGTATAAAAACTAGCCCAGTCGTGAACGGAGAGCTCAGGGACTTGGCAGCCCCCTGTTCTAAGTATGCCTTACCCGGGTAACGCAGAGCTCTGCCGGGGTGGACCGTTCCCCTTCTCTGCAGCTCGTGGGAATTATATGGACAAATTCAACAATATAAACAACAACAAAAACAAAAACGAGAGAGGCACTCCCCAAATGCCTACAGGGAGCAATCCCAAGCGAGAGAAGGCAACGGCCCAAAGGCCTGGCCAAATCCGCTAAAAAAAAAAAAAAAACGGAAGGGAAAAGGAGAGGGGGGAAAAAGGAGGGGGGGCCGGACAAAAACGGGAAAGGGGGGAAAAAAAAAACCCAAAAAAAAAAGCAAGGGCAGGGAGGAGGAGAAAAAAAACAGGGTGTGCACTTTTGTATTCTCTTTATTACGCCGCACACGTCTTACTTTTCTTAATGCCTCTTTTCGAATGACCGAGCGTCTTTTCTGGAGGCCGTATATTCCGTCTTTTTCTCTAGTGTGACCTTATATTTAGGGGTTATTCATATGCGATAGTGCTGCCGTATTGGCAGTGGGTTAATCTTATAGAGAGGGGCTGATAGGGGTTATCCTACCACAACTCGGCCATCCTGACTGTTGGATCACCTGATTCACTTAGTTATACGGGAGTTTTACGATAGTTTACAGTTTTTTCTTGTACTTCGTATATTACAGTTTTACTTATATATTAACATTTATTTTTGTTGCCTATCCAGTGTTTTATGTTTTGAATACTCCAAACACCTTGATACGGGTTACGGGATACTTGAAAACCTTCTACGTCTTTTAACAAAAACCTGTCATTTCTTAATACTTTTTCGATTACGTAAGGCCCTTTGTTTTTGGGAATTAATTTTTTAGATGCTCCTACTGTGCAATCAAAATTTTTTACCATCACATAGTCTCCTTCTTTATATTCTTTCGGTTTCTTTAGGCCCTTGTCATGTTGCTTTTTGTTGTATGCTTGGGCTATTTCTATATTTTTCGCCGCTTCCTCTCTTAGTTCTGTTAAATCTTTGCTTTCTTGTACATCATTCAACTGTTCTAGTTTTTCTTTTAATTCGTCTACTATTTTTCCTCTCTGTTCTATGCCGAATAATAGTTTACACGGAACTTGTTTTGTGCTTCGATGCTGCGTGTTATTTAATGCATATTCTACTTTGTCTATCACTACATCCCAATGTATACCCTTTTCTGGCTCCACTAATTTCGCTATCATTGGTCCAATGCTTCTGTTGACTCTTTCCACCTGACCATTCGCTTGTGGCGATCCTGTTGCGATTTTAGTGTGTTTAATATCAGTCTCTGTCAAGAACTCATCGAACTCGTTTGATGTGAAACAACTTCCTCTATCTGAAATTATGCATTTGGGTTTGCTGTATGCTCTAAAATAGTCTTTTAACGAAGCGATGACCTCCCGTGTATTCGTTGTTTTTGTTGCATATAAACGCACAAACTTTGTGAAAGCATCAATTACTACTAAGATGTGCTTTTTTGATCTTCCTGAATCAACCGGACCGTAGTGATCGATGTGTATTAGTTCAAATGGCTTATTTCCTTTTGGAATGGAGTGTAAAAATCCTTCTTTTCCTGTTTTAGGCGAAAACGCTACGCATTTCAAACAATTTTCAATATGACCGGAGCATTTTTCTTTTACGTTTGGAAACCAATAGCTTTTGCCTATTATATTCATCATTTTGTCTCTGCCTATATGTCCTAATTCGTTATGATATTTGTATAACACGTGATCTTCCATTTCGGTTGGAACATAGAATAACAATCTTCCGTCATTGCTTTTCCTGTAAACTACCCCATTTCTCATTTCAAAAAACTTGTGTTCATTTTCTTCTAACTGTTGTTTGATATTTCTAACTATTTGGTCCTTGGCTTGGCAAATAACTAAGTTGTCTTCAAACGTGTTTGTTTCTACAATGAGAATGTTTGTGCATCTACTTAGCGCATCTACGTGCTGCATCCTGCTGCCTTCTCTATGGCTCAGCTCATAATCATAACTTTGCAGCTCTAAAGCCCATCTAGCAATACGCGGGTTGAGCTCAATTTTGTTGAGCGTTAGCGTTAGTGAATTACAGTCAGTAACGATCTTGAAACGTTTTCCATATAAATATATGCGAAACCTGCGTAGTGCGTAAATAATTGCCATTGTCTCCAGCTCAAAGCTGTGATATTTTGATTCCGCTGCAGTTGTACGCTTAGAAAAAAAAAAGATTGGATGCAGTTTTCCGTCGTCTTTCTTCTGAAGTAGCACTGCCCCGAAACCAAGAGCGCTTGCATCACAATGCAATTCTATCTCGTCTTTATGATTATAAAGTGCTAAAATGGGTGCTTGCATTAGCATTTCCTTAAGCGATGAAAAGCAATTTAATTCGTCTTCACCAAATTTAAACTCTGTATCTTTTCTCAGAAGATCGTAAAGAGGTTTGGCAACAGTTGAGAAATCTTTTATAAATCTCCTGAAATAGGAGCATAAGCCAAGAAAACTTTGTACCACCTGTATCTTATTCGGGATTGGAAAGTTTTTGATTGCTTCTAATCCTTTTTCATCTGCCCTTATACCTTGTCCGTTGATTGTGAACCCCAGATATTTGATATTAGATTGTAAAAACTCACATTTGTCTATACGCAATTCTAATTTGTTTTGAGCCAACCTAATAAAGACTTCTTTTAGCGTTTCTAAGTGTTCCTGCGTATCTTTGCTGGCTACCATGATGTCGTCCATATATACAATAACTTTGTCATCCCTAATTAAATCATCGAATATTTTATTAACAAACCTCTGAAACACGGCTGATGCCGTTTTCAGTCCCTGTGGCATTCTAAGGAACTCGAATTGTCCTAAAGGTGTCACGAACGATGTATATCTAATCGATTCCTCATTAACGAATACATGGAAATAACCATTTTTGAGATCAAGTTTCGTAAAGACTCTTTTGTTGGCTAATTTGTCCAGCAGATCATCGATGAGGGTATGGGATAGTTGTCCTTAATCAAGGTCTTGTTGAGTTTTCTAAAGTCTATACACAACCTTAAATCCCCCGTTTTCTTTTTGACTAGTACGATGGGTGACGCGTATTCAGACTCGCTGGGTCGTATTATCCCTTTTCTTAAATATTCATCTAACAATGTTTGCAGTTTATCTTTCTCGGTATATGATAGGCGCCTTGGAGCACAACTAAAAGGTTTTGATTTCTCTAAGTTAAGTTTTATCTCGCATTTGACTAAAGGTTCTTTTGGTTTTACCGTCTTTACGTAATAGTCTTCGATTATTTGCCTTAGTTGACACTTAAGCCTATGACTTATGTTCTCCCCGCAGATGTAATCAACTTTTTCATCTTCCATATAATTGATATTAAAGATGTCTGGAACAATAATATCATTGTATGTGTCATCAGCTTTGCTGTTAAGGATTTCATTCATAACCATCGCATCGTTATTTATCGAATTGACTGTTTTCTTTTTAGAATTTTTTGGTCTGGAAGAATCGCTAAACTCTTCAGCAAACATTTCATTAGTTACTCCTGTTTCTCTAACAACGTTACTAACGGTTTTACTAACAATTTCGTTTACCTCTTTACTAATAGTATCACTTACAATTTCACTAACTCCTTCTCTAACGGTTTCACTAACAATTGCACTAACTTCCTCACTAACGGTATCACTAACAATTGCACTAACTTCCTCACTAACGGTATCACTAACAATTTCACTAACTTCCTCACTAACGGTATCACTAACAATTTCACTAACGGTATCACTAACAATTTCATTACCATTATCTATTTTGATTACCTCATCTATAACTATTTTATCTGAATTTTCTCTACTCTTTGTACTACTTATTATACTAGTATGTTTTCCAACCGTTTTGATTTGCATTTTATCATTTTCAATCGGAATTGCTGGATTTTCACTTAAATGATCATTGGCTTCCGAATTCAAAGCGTCTAACGTAACCATTTTTAAAGTACTTAAGTCCAAGTTTAAGTCGCATGCATTCATAAAATTTCTGCCAAGAACCACACCATGACTCATAGACTCGTTCGACACTACGTTCAAATAAAAATAGCATTTTATTCTTCCTTTCAAAACATAACATAAAATTTTTCCAAGTGTTTTCAATTGGCTTTTATTAAGCCCAAAATATAATTCCAAAACTGGTTCCAAACGAATTTCTCTAGAGATTAAGCTTTTCTTGATGAACGATATGGGACTGCCAGAGTCTATGAGGCACGCTGAAATTAATGGTGTTACGATATTGTTGCAAAAGAAAATCTTACAGTATCTTACATAATTATTGTATGTTACGCTCTTCCTCTCCGGGCATTGTCCGACCAGATGTCCAAATACCCCACAGGCGTAGCAGGATCCAGGCTCCCTTTTTGGTTTGAGACAGTCCTTGGCGAAATGACCTCGCGAGTTGCAGTTGGCGCAACGTAGGTCCTTGGTCGCCGAAGAATTTGCCGGGCCTTGTGATGATGTGGCATGCTGCATACGCTCCGGAAGGCGAATCTCCGAAAAAGCACGCAAAATCTGCTTCGGATCGGAGAAGCACTGAATGCGAGCCTGATCTCGCAAGCCCGGGGACGGAATCCCCTCGATTATCTTCTCTTTCAATTCTTCTATGTCTATGTTGATGTTCCTGGCCAGCATCATTTTTTCTTCGTAGTATGTGGCAAAATTTTCTCCATAAAGCCATTGGCGCTTATGGAACCTGTCTCTGAGTTCTCCTTTGGTGACGGTTGCCCCGAATGCCACGATCAATTGCTCGCACAGGTGATCAGCTGATTCCAAGATGCGCGAGGAATCTGCATGGAGCCAGCGCTGAGCGTTTCCTTTGAGCTTGGCAATCAGCAGCATTCGTTTAGTAATATTGTCCAGTTTGTAGATTTGGGCAATGTTCTTCACCTGTATGACCCAGTTTTTGGCGCACTGTGTCCCGTCGTATTCCATAGTCACTTCCTTTGCTAACGTAAGCGATGCTGTCGGAGATTCGCATATGTTGTTTACATTTGTGTCTTGACGTTTTGCAACACCGTCTGAATTGTCGTCTTTTACATTACTGCTGTCAGGGCCGCTATTAACATTGGTGCTGTTAGCGCAAACGGTGTTGTTAACTTCGGGGCTGTTAACTGTAGCACTGTTATCGTTGTCGCTGTTAACTGAGTCGTTGTCTTCATCGATGACGTCATTGGATTGGCCGACGTGAACGATCTTGTTTATTTCGTCATGGATTTGCCGCAGCATGTTTTTTCCTTCTTCAATGTCTGCGCGCAATTTCATCAGAGCGGCGTACTCTGCTTCCACCGTGCTCCACTGTCCCATGCTTGGAATATTTTTCTCCTGCATGCCTCGAGTTGATGGTGTTGCCTCTTCCTCGACCGACGACGCTAAAACTGGTGCTTTGCCTGCCGCCTGTTGATGTTCCACTTGGTCGATCGAACCTTCTGGTGGGTCGCCGCGTGCGTTTGGTGAAATTGCGCTTACGCGTGCGATCAGTTCGGCTTTGGAGCCTTGAGTTGGTCGCCCAAGTCCAGCCAGCCACCTTTTTAGTTGCGCTGACGAGAATTGATTTGGTTCGAAGTCGCACATTGTGAGTAAGGCCCACTTCTGAGATTGTGAGAGATAGAACGGGGTATGCACTTTTGTATCTCTTTATTACGCCGCACACGTCTTACTTTTCTTAATGCCTCTTTTCGAATGACCGAGCGTCTTTTCTGGAGGCCGTATATTCCGTCTTTTTCTCTAGTGTGACCTTATATTTAGGGGTTATTCATATGCGATAGTGCTGCCGTATTGGCAGACTTTAGAGAGGGGCTGATAGGGGTTATCCTACCACAGCAGCTAAGCAATATTGCGGCTGCTCAACCTTCTGGTGAAAAAGGGGGTGAAGGTTAACCACAAACCAGCGTCCAAACCAAAAAATTCAGTTATGCCGAAAAGAGGAGTGCTGTCGGAAAACCAAGCCAGGAACGTCGGCAGAACGCAAGCCAGGAAGTCAGTCCAACAGCAGACTGGCTGAAGAAAGTGGAATGGGCCTCAGATGTTCCCCCCCTCCAGTGTGGAGCCACAGAAGGTGGCCGCCCAACCGAAGAGGCAGCGCTCTCAAGAGACGCCCGGACCTGTCGCGAAGACAGGTAGTGTAACAAAAAATTCCTCCTCGCGGAATTCCAAGGAGAGGACGCTGATAGGCGTTCTTGACAAAGGCAGCGCGGAGGGGAAAATACCCAGAAGCCAGTGGAAGTGGGTGGAAGCGGCACTGGCCGACCGCTGCTTCGAGCTTCTAGAGAAGGATCCCGGGCCACCCCCAGTCTGCAAAGACATGGGATGGTTCCAGGGGAGCATCAAGGTGGTAGCCTGCGAAGATGAGCGCTCCGTAAAGCTATACAAAGCTGCGGTGGCGCAAATCGGTGAGGTCTACGCCGGGGCAAAGCTCATCGCTGTGGACTGGAGCGAGGTGCCCAGTAGGCCAAGGGCCCGTATATGGGTACCGGCCACTTTCAAGGATCCCGAGCGGATCCTCACGATGTTGCAGAGATGCAACCCCACACTGCCAACCTCAGATTGGAGGGTGGTCAAAGTGGAGGCATCAAAGGGCCCCACAAATCAGGCGGTGGTTGTGCTAAACAAAGAATCGCTAGCCCCGATCGAGGCAGCCAGGGGAGAGCTTAACTTCGGGTTCAGCTCGGTGACCATGAAGGTCTATAAGTCGGACGCAGCGACCGAGGCGCGTTCTGTCAACAACCCAGTTGAGCAGGACGTTGCCTTGGAGATCGAGGCACCCGAAGTAGACCCGGAGCCGGCCCTGGAGAGCTACTCCTCGGAGACGGAGCTGATGCTCGATTTTGAGGCGTTGTGTCGGGACGAGATACTCGACGACTCTGACGCCGACATAACAGTGGTGGAGAACGTTTCTAATGAAGTCTCTGAGGCTTCTGCAGATAAATCTCCACCACTGTAAAGCAGCATCCGCTGCCCTGATACTCCGCTTAGTCGCAAGCGGAGGGCCAAGAGCCCTGGGTGGTAGGAGGCAGGGTCTGTGGATTAGCGACGAAGGACTACAAGCTGATTGTAGCCCAAACTGAAGGTAAAATTAGAACCTGCATATTAGCAAGAAAGCACCTAAATATCTTTCTGCTCCACAATTTTAGCAATGGCGACAATACGGCAGCTAGCCTAGAGCTACAAGGGACACGCCTGAACCTGGTGTCGTCCTACATGGCTCACGAGGAAAGCGATCCTCCCAGTGACCTCGTTCGCAAGATTGCCAGCGACAGCGAGAGGTCGGATACAAGCCTACTAATAGGCTGCGATGCCAACGCTCATCACACCCAATGGGGGAGCTCGGATACAAATGTAAGGGGTGAGTCACTTTTCAGCTTCATCCTGAACTCCAACCTAATTATCGGTAATCGGGGTAATGACCCCACTTTTATCATAAAAAACCGTCAAGAGGTTATTGACCTCACTCTATTGTCTCACAAACTGTCAGACATAATGGAAAGTTGGAGAGTCCTAGAGGACCACTCCTTCTCCGACCACAGGTACATCGAGACAATCCTATCGCTCGAAAGCACCATACCCACTAGCTATAATCCAAGGAAAGCCAACTGGGATATGTATAGTGCTAAAATGGAGGAATTACTCCGCCCCTTAGCCCCAAAATGCCCGGACACACAAGACGATCTTAATCGTCTTGTGGACAATTTCACGGAAGCTTGCAACAAGGCATTCATGGCAGCTTGCCCCCCAACCAAACCAAGTGGGAAAAAGAAACCCCCCTGGTGGTCTAAAAATATAGATACCCTCCGGAAAGACTGCAGGACTCTCTTTAACAGAGCCAAAAGCAGCAGCGAGGAAGCGCATTGGGAAAATTACAAAAGTAAGCTAACCCTATACAAAAAAGAAACAAGGAGAGCAAAAAGGGCCTCTTGGCACAAATTTTGCTCCGAAATTGAGGACACGTGAGAAGCCGCAAGGCTACGCAAGATTCTGTCAAAAACATCCCCCTCGGTGGGATACCTCAAGAGAACGGATGGTACGTGGACTAACTCTAGTGAGGACTCCCTACACATTCTACTCGATACTCATTTTCCTGGGTGTACGACCATCGAGCCGGCAGACACCCCAAGTGAAGGCCCGGAAACCTCGATGGGGCACATCCTCACAAAACGGAAGCTGGGCACTAAACAGCTTTAAATCCTACAAATCGCCTGGCCCGGACCAAGTCATTCCGGCTCAGTTGCAAAAAGCCGGGGACATGGACAAAGTATCTTCAGGAAGATACTGACAGTGGGAAAAATCCCCCGAGCTTGGCTAAAGGCTAAAATAGTCTTTATCCCCAAAGCAGGGAAACCCTCACACACAACCCCAAAAGACTTCAGACCAATAAGTCTATCGTCCTTTCTTCTCAAAACCTTTGAGAGACTAGTCGGGCTGCAGCTGAGGACAATTATAAACCCTCAGTGGTTGTCAGGCGCTCAACATGCCTACCGAAAAGGAAAATCCACGGAGACGGCACTCCATGAAGTAATCTCGGCGGTAGAGAAATCTCTACAAGTCAACGAATACTCCTTAATCGCTTTCCTAGACATTGAGGGAGCTTTTAACAACGTCATACCAGGAGCCATCACAGAGGCCCTGACTGACCTGGGAGTGGATCGTCACTTGATGATGCTCATAGATCAATTGCTCACATGCAGGACAGTGACACCATCAATGGGATCGTCCACTCAGTCTAGGTATGTCAACAGAGGCACCCCGCAAGGTGGTGTCCTGTCTCCCCTTCTATGGAACATAGCAGTCAATAAGATACTGTGTGACCTGGAAGGGGGGGGCTGCAAGGTGGTAGCATACGCGGACGACGTTGCCATTATTTTCTCGTGAAAATTCCCTCAAACACTCTGCGATCTAATGACCGCAAAGCTCGCGCTACTCTCAGAATGGACAGAGTCGCGTGGACTGGGAATCAATCCCTCTAAAACGGAACTTGTATTGTTTACAACCAAATACAAAATCCCGTCCCTCAACCCCCCAATACTAAACGGATGTAGGCTCTCCTTCAGCGACAGTGCCAGTTACTTAGGTTTGGTAATTGACAAAAAACTTAGCTGGAACCTGAGCATCAAAGACAGAGTGAAGAAGGCTACGATAGCCCTCTACACTTGCAAGAAAGCCATTGGGCTAAAATGGGGCATGAACCCAAGAATAGTCCAATGGATTTACCTGGCAATAGTCAGACCAATAGTACTCTACGGAGTCGCAGTGTGGTGGCCTGCCCTATCGAAGGGGACCATCACTAAACAACTGGGCAAGGTGCAGCGCACTGCAGCCCTATGCATCAGTGGAGCTCTAAGCACAACACCAACGGATGCGCTAAATGCTATCCTATGCTTGCAGAGCCTTGACCTTGCAGGTAAGGAGCAGGCAGAAATGGCAGCAATCCGTCTTAGAGACTCTAACCAATGGGTGTCACATCACACCGGTCATGCGTCCATCCTAAATGGAAACAAAATCGTCCCCACAAAAACGGACTACTGCGTTCCGAGGGAGTATACAGATACCCCCTTCGAAACAATCATCCCTCACAGAAACATCTGGCTTGAGGGACCACCTGGTCCAAAGGGAGCCATTCGAATCTTTACTGATGACTCAAAGCTGGACAACAAGGTCGGAGGAGGAATCTACTCCGAACAGCTGAACATAAGACAGTCCTTCAGGCTCCCGGATCACTGCAGTGTCTTCCCAGCAGAAGTCATAGCGATCAAGGAGGCTTTGAGCTGTCTTCAGGAAATAGCCCCTGCGGCAACTCATATAAATATCTACAGTGACAGCCAAGCTGCGATCAAATCGCTGAATGCGATAACAACAAGCTCGGCCACCGTGGCAAACTGTCGCAAATCTCTTCATGAGATGGCTTATCAGTTCGTCATCAGCCTAATATGGGTCCCGGGCCACCAGGACATTGAAGGCAATTGCATACTGGACGAGCTGGCCAGAGCTGGCACAACAATCCCCCTTCTCCATGATAAGGAGGATATTCGTATGCCAATGGCCACCTGCAAGCTCAAAATAAAAGAACATTTTAAGCGATTAATAAATGACAGATGGCAAACCGTGTCACTATGTCGCATAACTCGGCAAACATGGCCTAACATTAATAGGAAGCGCACCGATGAGCTTTGCAAACTCAGTAGGAGTAGGTGCAGCTCAGTCATACGCTCCCTCACGGGACACTGGCTAATAGGCACACATGCAAGCAGGCTGGGCGCCCAATATAACGACTTCTGTGGAAGCTGTAGAGATGAGGACAAGGAGGAGACTGTGGAACACCTGTTCTGCTCCTGTCCGGCTCTCAGTAGAAGGAGACTGCAATACTTGGGCGCTCCTTTTCTAATTGACATTTCGGACATGTCTACAATCAGTCCCAGACGGATCGCAGGCTTCATAAGGGCATCCGGATGGGATAATGGATAACATAGGGTCTCACGAGGGAGAAGGGAACGTAATATGCGGTATCACAACGGGCCGAAACCGGCCTAGGTGTGTCGGGTCTCTGACAATCCCGACAGCCGCTTCAACCTAACCTAACC